GAGAGAGTGTGTGTGAGAGTGTGTGTGTATGTGTGTGTGTGTGTGTGAGTGAGTGTGTGTGTGTGTGAGTGAGTGTGTGTGTGTGTGAGTGAGTGTGAGAGTGAGTGTGTGTGAGTGAGTGTGTGTGAGTGAGTGTGAGTAAGTGTGTGTGTGTGTGTGTGAGTGAAAGTGAGTGAGTGAGTTTGTGAGAGAGCAGCTGCACACAGGAACGGTTCACTCAGTCAACCAACAAAAGCGTTTTTCTGTGGATTTGATTGGATTTCATGCCTGTTTTTAATGAATTCATACTGTCATAATTCAAAGAATTAAATCCACATTTCATTTGATAAAATAATGGCATGAATGACTTCAGGTCAGTGTGAACTTCATTTACTATGAGACGGACATCAGAGATGATCAGAGGAGAAAGTCTGACCTGTTTGAAGCAAAACTTTACAGTTTCAATCTTAGAAAGAGAAAAAAACACTGATTTCAGACTGATTTCTATTATGATATATGACACTCATGTTCAGTGAAAAGGATATTTTAATTTTTCCTAAACGCATAAAAATGCACACATTGTAGGGCAAAACATAAAATGAAAACATTTACTGAATTTTATCCGTTGACAGAGAGAGAGTAAAATAGACAGACGTGAAGGAAACGAGTGTTGAGTTCAAACCGGCGGCAGAGCGTTTAATCAGGATTCATTCACGTGGATCTGTGAACACAAGAACACAAACATCAGATCAGCTGCAGATCCCGAGCTTTAAAACAAACGAACCGCCTGATCACTACATCTGCACTTCTGACAAATCCACGCATGCACAGATTTACCAGACGGTGCGGAGCATGTGATCGAGAGACGCGTATCGAGCAGCGCAGGAAATTCAATCAGAGCGTCTGCTAAAGCTCTTTCTGATGACATTACTGGACGCAATCATCAAGAACGAGCTGAAGTGATAAAGAAATGAATATGTAATACAAATATAATTAAAAAAGGAAGTAAGCACTGTAACCAACAGGGCTCTCGGTATTCTGGGGAGTTTGTGTGCATTGGGAGTCATATTTGTTCAAATAAAGCCGATTCAGCACACAGTGATAATGACATGAACATGTGAGCGGGCAAATGGATAAAGCGCAGCATAAATCCTGAGTTTAAGGTTTGTCGTGAAGCTGAACTCTCCTTCACACGGACCGACCGTCACGCAGAGAACACGCCATCAGACAATAAACACATGCTCACTTCACAAGATCTCACGCTGGATTCAACAAAGCTCGTAAGGTTTGTGAAATTAGATGTTCATTAGTCATTCAAAGATTTGTTTATGATATACATGCGTATTTCCATTAATGCTGACGGCAAACGAGAAAGTATTATAATGTTTGCCTTTCTATTACTAATGATATAAAAGCAATCGTTATTATTAGATATTAATAATAAGCTATCTGATTATTAGACCGTATTAGACCGAACTGCTAAACGTTGCAGGTGCTGCTGGTTTCAGGGCCGTCACAATAAAGTCCGCCTCAAACAGAAAAAACGTATCGGCCGATGCGGATATTTAAAAAATGCCAAATATCAGCCGATATATCAGTCGACCTTCAATCTAGATTAAAGACATCTCTTTAGCCAAGCATTCACATAATGCATCTCATAACCTCGTACTTCAGCTATATCTGATCAAATGCACATTATCATCCTTTAGCTTGGTTTGTACAGCAGCTACGCTAATTGTGTCCCGAGGTAACTAAGAATCACACAAGCTTCAGTCTGGATATAATATAATCGTTGCTGCTGATAGAGTTCACCGTCTGTTTGATTACGTCATTAACTGCATGATTTCACTTTACATGTCTGCCATATGGACATTACTGATAAGCTACTACTAAATATAATGTACAAACTTTAATTTTCTGTAAAGCTGCTTTGCAACAATTTGTATCGTGAAAAGTGCTATACAAATAAAAAATAAGAAAGAGAAGAGTCAGGCGGGACTCACTTGGGCTTGGTCTCGGCGTCGGTCACCTGGCGGATGAAGACGGCGTCGGCGGGGTGAGAGACGTCTCCCTGCTCCTGCATGTACGAGCAGGCGATGGCCAGCAGAGAGCCGTCTGTACTGAACGCCAGAGACGCCACGCTCGTGGGGTAACGGTGGAACTGACACAGACGCTTCTTGTTGAACGGATCCCAAATGTTCACGAAGCCGTCAGAACCGCCTGCACACACACACACAAGTCTGAGTGGTTTACACCAACAAAAACTGCATGTACAAGGGAAAGTGTTAATTTTATGTTCTGTAACCGTTCCCTGTTTCTCTGAACGTTTGACCATGTAAATCATGTTTGTGTTCACTGGTTCATTTTAAATGATCAAAGTTAAAACAAATATTCAATGTGGTTTCTGCACCACAAAATAATGATTGTTTTCAAACAGGTTTTCCATCAGTCACTGGTCAAGCAAACTCCAAACTCACACTAATATCCCTCTCCCACAGTCCGCCGCATCCCAGTTCAGTGCTCAGAACGGAAATTAAGTGTACTACGGAAACCCTAAAGGGAATAAATCAGTGGCGAGCGGTGACTTTTTTAACCGGGTATGCTGAGTGATTAGACCCACCCGACACTAATAACAGACCATGCAAAATACCCAAAATATTTAAAATTTTGCACAGTAACTTTGCAACCTTGCAAACAATAATAAAATCAGATGACTTTAACTATAGGCGACACTAGCATACGCAAAACAAAGGGAACAATATGATGTTTGTTATTATTAAAATTTGATATCGCCCACGTTTTTACAAACATTTTTTTTTTTTTTACCGCTTAGGCAATTAACGTATATCTTCAACATACATTGTCTATGACCAAAAATGTAAGAAGATGTTTTCAGTGGACCTTTAAAATTAGCTTTGCTTGAGAAAACAAAAATATACAGTTACAGTGTTTTTTATTTTGATTTAGTCGAGTTGGTTTTGCATCAAACACGATGTGATTCTCGGCAGTCGAGATCTGACAGCAGCAGCACATTTTCCCGCTTGGGCGAGCGCTTCACAGACAGTTTACCTCGGAGCATTACATCAGCCGCAGACCAGCACATCACTGAGAACGCGCTACAATCCTGACGAGTCAGAGCAACAGAGCGCAGGCGAGAACGCTGCGGAGAATCCGCTCGCCCGGAAGCAACCGCAACTGACGTAGATTTACAGAAAATTACTGCCGTTTGGCAAATAAATAAATAAATTCTTTAAGCTTTTAGTTACATTTCAAATGACAAGGGATTAACTCATAATCATGTTTATATTAATTATCCCGTGAACTTATTCTCTCAAATGGCCTGGGTATGCGGAGCATTCGTAGCATATACGCACGGAACGCCACTGGAATAAATAGCCCACGTGATGGGAGGATAAAAAATAGTTCAGTACTTTTTCTCACAATTATATCGTTGGGTAAGTATAGGCGACTGTTTATAAACTGCGGGCATCAGGGAGCCGTTATTGAAACCGCTTTCGATTGCACGCTCTCATTTCACTTTCGCAATCACAAGCAATGTTCCCTCATTTTTTTTCTTGCTGAGCAAAACTTCTCTCTATTGGGCGGACATTTAATCCACCCGAGCAAACACATTCTTTATACCAGACCTGTACAGCGCGCACACAAAAAAGTGTGTAACTTTTAACTTTAATGTGCTATTTGTATTTAATTTGACCCGTGACTAAATGATGACCATTTTAGGTTACCTGAGAAAACTTTTTTTTTTTTACAGTATAATACACTGCCATTCAAATGTTTATAAAAGAGGTTTCTTATGCTCATCAAGGCTGTATCTATTAGATAAAAATACTGAATATTATTTCACAAAATAATATTGTGAAATATTATTGCAATTTAAAATAAAGGTTTTCTATTTTAATATACATTAAAATATAATTTATTCCCATAAAGCAAAGCCATCTTCAGAAATCATTCTAATATGCTGATTTATAATAAAATGTTAAAAAGAACAGTGTTTATTCAAAATAGAAATTTTCTGTTACAATATACACTACTATTCAAAAGTCAGTAATTTTTTCTTTTTTAAGAAATTAATACTTTTATTCAGGAAGAATGTGCTAAATTGTTAAGAAGTGATAGTAATAGAAAAGATTTATATTTTATATAATATCAAAACAAACTGAAGCATTTAAACTGAGATCTGCAAGTTAAATATTAAAAAAAACGTGAACGTGAATTCTTCTATAGCCATCTAAACATCTCTAAGAAGTACAGTCTGCACAATACACCTGTGTGTGACTGTGAACGTCTCTGTCTTGTTACCGTTCTGTGTCCATCCTCCGCTATTTCCAGCACTTAATCAAGCCACTCTTCTTTAATACATGCTGTGTGTGACTGTGTGTCTCTGAGTTTTGTTACCGTTCTGTGCCCATCATCCGCTATTTCCAGCACTTAATCAAGCCACTCTTCTTTAATACATGACGACGTTTTATTTCACGTCATTGCGTTGGCTCTCGGTTTGAGCTATTTCGGTATCTACAGCGACTCATTCAGCGCACATCATTCTCTTTCTATGAAACCTGTAAACCGCATTCACCGCTTCTAACTCTATAGCGATATCAACTCTATAGCGGTTTACCCGAGCATTGCAATTCATTAGCTTTCCCAACTCATGTATGCGTGTGCGCGGCACATTATTTCTTCTGCGCGGCTGCGGTGCAAGAAGTGAGCAGCTTAGAGGGAACATTGATCACAAGGACTCTATGGAGCGGCAGTACCTACCACACATTTGACAAGATTAGATGTTTGTCATTGGTGCTCAGGATCTGCAAATCATTCGCCATCGTCCTATCAGACATTTCTCCTTGCTCTGTGTATGTGGTAAGTGAACTTTCATGTACTGTAATGCAACAGGCTACCACTAGCAAGCGGCTAACCTTTTAGTGGCTCCGTAGAACGCGTTATTTGTTTCACGCTTCGGGCACACCCCTAACCCCGCCCCCTCCCCGCCCCCCCGATGTCATCGTCCATCACTAGCCTACATTTCAAACCTCACAGAATTAAAAGCTTCTAAATGTTTGCGCATTAGAAAGCTCTGAAGTGATCGTGTCAGCGAGCAGTAATAAAGAGCGTGGATGTGTACCGGTGGCAAACGTGTTGTGGACGCTGTGGAAGGAGATGGCGTTGACCGGAAAGACCTGCTCGATGCCGTTCTCCTTCAGTCTGTGGCACTTGAAGGCGTATTTCTTCTTCTGCACCTCCAGACTGGGGTCCAGATACTCCACAGCGACTCTGCCCTCGATGGAGCTCAACACATAACCCTGAAAACACACGTCACACCAATCACACTCTTACAGGGTCTATACTGCTTTATTAGTAATAAAACTGGCTGAAATCACTACCCTACAGATTCCTGGGGCTTCAGTGCCCTTGAATATTTGAGAGATTTTTCTATATTATTCTTATGTCAATTTCTGTATGTGCAGAGAGTTCGAGAGGTATTTCACTGCACATCGTACTACGTATGGATGTGTGTGACAATTAAACTTGGACTGAAATGGAAAGAACTACAGCCCTTGTGAAAAGTTTGGAAACATTACAACTTTTAAATGTTTTTAATGAAGTCTCTTCTGCTCACTATAACTCCATTTATTTGATCACAAATACAGTAAAAACAGTGAAATGTTATTATAATTCATATTATAATTCAAACAGCTGTTTTCTATGTGAATATCTGTTAAACTGTAATTTATTTCCGTGATCAAAGCTGAATTTTCAGCATCAGATTACTAGGTTATTTATTTGCACAAATCATCCAAGCACCCCAATCCCAGCCATTTCTAATATACTTTTGATTAATATGACTAAATATTAAATTGTAACGAAATTAAAGATCCATCTTTGATTGTCAAAAGAATTCCAGCTAATTAGATTTCACATAGCATTTTAATCGGTCAGTCATGGAAGTCTGATTTGTTGATAACTTTTGACAATGTTTAATCCAGGTGCGAAAAGAATTCATTTTTAGCGCAAGAGCACGGAGAGATTTGCGAGTGCAAAGTACACAGTTTGAGCGCGCACACGGGCACATTTTAAGTGCGCGCACACTCTCTGGGAGAGAGCAGCGCATATCTGAGAGTGCGCGTCTGGTTTAGTGCGAGAGCAAAGGAAATC